AAAGGCCAACTTTGCCAAAGAGTACATGGTGGTGTCAGGACTCAAAGTCAGGTTTGTGTGGCTTTACAGGCTAGTCTTAACCACTATGCTGTATGTTGTCTTAAACTTTTTTCAAGCAGAAAAGGTGAGAGAACTGCTTTCAACTGCAGGGTCCTTGCAAGAGTGCATTCAAAGCCAATGCAACTTCTAAGAGACTAAACTGTGTTTCTTGAACAGCAATGTAACTGATGCCCCACAGAACACTGGGCATGCTCCAAGTTTCAGTGTATGGCTCAGTCAGAAACATGCAATGAAATATCCACTAACCATGGATTAAGTGGGGTAACCTTCTGCAGAGGAAAGATACAATAACAAATGTGAAATGTTCTCTGCCTTCAAGGAGCTTTAGGCAGATAAGCTAAGAAGACAAGTGAGTGCAATAAAGGCAGTTGTGGTCACAGGACCTTCCAGGAGTGGAAAGAACTCAGAGGAGGAAAAGACTGAGCCACGCCAGGGTCATGATGGCCTGAGCAGCTATTAAGAGAGTGGCCAGGGACTGTCCCGGTTTATGGCTTAATAATTTGTAGCATCTCTTTGCTCCCTCAGGAAAGTTTCAGTTTGGACAGTAGATTATATATTATATGACCACTCTGCTTAGTAAGCAAGTTTTTGTTGCCCTGAGTTCACTTAATTTCTGAGACAATTTAACCTTAGTTGTGAGCGTAAAGATATTGGCTATTTTGTTCGGCTCTAGCTGCATTTACCCAAATACAAAGTAAAATGCTAGACTTCTCTGAAGATGAAAACCTGTTTAAATGTCTGATTGACATTATGTAAACTATAACCATACTTCAAAATAGAAATTTATTTTTTTATTGAAGAATAGCATTCCCATCAAGTGGTTCTGACACAATTATACGTCTACTGCTATAACATTTCAAGGGAAGTCAGCCCTTCTAAAGATTTCTTTCAGGTAAGTGTTAAATAGAAAAGAAAAAGAAGTTTTGCTGCCTCCTTCCTCCGTTAACAGGTGGCTTCTATTTGTCTCTGACCAAAAACGAGAGAAATTGCAGAAAAGAATGAAATGGGTCTACATCCTGAGTAAGGACCCAATTAATATAAAACTGAGTAACTATCGTAAAGTTCTTCTTGAATGAAAGTCCGTCATGAC